TAGCAGTATCAACTAACACTGGTTAGTAGTAGTATCAGCTAACACTGGTCAGTAGTTGTATAAACTAACACTGGTCAGAAGTAGTACCAACTAACACTGGTCAGTAGTAGTACAAACTAACACTGGTCAGAAGTAGTACCAACTAACACTGGTCAGAAGTAGTACCAACTAACACTGGTCAGAAGTAGTACCAACTAGCACTGGTCAGAAGTAGTACCAACTAGCACTGGTCAGTAGTAGTACCAACTAACACTGGTCAGAAGTAGTACCAACTAACACTGGTCAGAAGTAGTACCAACTAACACTGGTCAGAAGTAGTACCAACTAACACTGGTCAGTAGTTGTATCAACTAACACTGGTCAGTAGTTGTATAAACTAACACTGGTCAGTAGTTGTATAAACTAACACTGGTCAGAAGTAGTATCAATTAACACTGGTCAGAAGTAGTATCAACTAACACTTGTTACCAGTAGTAGTAGGATTTTTTAATTACTGTAAGAATTATTTAGAGCTGGAAACAAGTTACATGAACCACAATTCATTTATTACACTAACCTGCATTATTTCATCTAATGCAGATTTTCTTTTTCTGTCCTTTGATGATGAGCTTTCTTTCTTTTTCATTCCTGCAATTTTCAATGGATTAACAGTGGGTACAATCCTGGTAAATAAACACAAAATAAATATGATTAATTATGGACGGGGTAGGATTGCTATCACCAGGTGTTTTTGTCACTAGAAATGTTCATCATTTGATAGATATGGATGAATTTACAAAGCAATGTGTTAAACACTATTTTGGTAACAATGTAAGCATCATTTCTAGAGAAGGACGTGGAGGTAAGCATCCATCCTGTATTTCTGAAAGCCTTCAGGACCCTAGGCAATTATGCATATACATGTACTGTACTAATAAAACAATTACCAGTACATTTTAAAGACATTTTGATAATTTCCCAACCAGAAGATTCCTAGTGACAATTTTCCCAACTTCAGAAATTCCTCAAAATTTGCCTTGCAAAATGAGAAAAAAATACAGTACATAAATTATGTAAAATGAACTTACTTTGGTTTTACAGCTGGTTTCTTTTCTATAACTGTTTTACTGCTGCTTGCTTCCTCAGAACACTCTCCATCACCAGTAGATGTGGACGGCGCCTTACCCCCAAGGGAAAACCTAATTTTTTCTTCGGCATCTTCTCTCTGTAGTTCAGTGAAAACGTTTTCTTCCTGAGAGAATGAATGTAAAATACTGTCAAATGTACATATTTTAGCACATAAATTATGTAAATGCATTAATTATTCACTGGGTTTTTAATCTTGCTATTTTCACTAATCAGTATGTAAACATGTAAAATAACAATAAAACTCATTGTATACTTGAAAAATTCAGGAAATTAAAACACAGTGAATACACTCAAAACATCAAAATAGTGGAAATAAATTGTTTTACATTACTTATAAGTATAGCAGTGACAATATTCATGTGCAAACATGAAAAATATCAAAAAGTAAAAATTTCTGAGAACATTTTTTGAATACACTAAATTTGCAAATTAATTGTGACATAATTTTGTTCTGCTGTCAAGTGGATTAGCATAACAAGAATAGGTGACCAAACTCAACTGATTGTGTTTATACACTTATTGTGGAAATTAAACAGTGTAGATATTTTATATAAATATGATGATATGCAAAATGTGCATAGCTTCCCGTATACTTGATTCATGTAGCTGAATCCTACTTACCTTTTGACTGCTCTTTTCTTTGACCTTTTCAATTTGTTTTTGGATGAACTTTTGGATTTTTTCTTCATCATCCAACTGCATCTTCTGCTTCTTAGCTAAGGCTTCTTGTCTGCTGATGGTCTCTGGGTCTCTGTCAATATAGGTGATAAACCATCCTTTTTCTGTCTGGTCCACGGTAGCATAACCTAACATATGCACAAAGCATTAGTCTATATAATAACAGTGCTTTTAATTGGCCACATTGTACAGCACTAATTTCTTCAGTGTTGTCAAGTTTGGAATGAAAAGCTGCTTTACTGAATTTGTTGTAAGCATACTTTCTTTCATATAAATGTTAAAACATGGGTCTAACCTATATGCAAATCCACAAATAGTATTGTCAATGTCTACTTGTGGTTTGACGACTGAACTGTATTTTATCAGGAGTCGCCGAGCAGGTTCAATTTGTAGACTTATAGATAACACAACGTCTCGTAGTATGTAACTCGTCTAACACAGTTTATTGTCAACTGAATAAAGTTTAGAACTTGAGCTCTTAAGCTTGTGATCTTGTGAAAACTCCAAAAGAAGAACGTAATCGAACAGTAATAAAGTTGACACACTGAAACTTATATGCAGCCTCTTTCTGGTACCGGTCTCTGATTGGTCATATTTATCGGTAATATTTAACGTTTTCACTGCATCCAGTGACACTACTAGTAGTAGTACTACATATACATGTACTACTACATTTACCAAATTTGCTCTATTAGAAGTAAATATATTGTATACTGGATTATTGAAATATGAGATATTATGACCATAGACATGCCTTTGTCATTTATGCAAGAGAATGCACTTCTAATATAGCATACTCTCAAGTATATTTATCGTTTTCACTGTCATGAAAGCAAGCTTGAGTCCCGGGAGAAAAAGTGACGAAAATTCTAACCCCTAAGTCATTATTTTAAAATACATTATGTTATAAAAAAAACTACCAAATGAATTTTTAGTATACTACTGTGCGTACTTATGATGGTTGTATGCGATTCGGGGGCTTATTAGAGTAAATTTTATCGTTTTGCTTTCGCGTCACTGTATCAGCCATTTTGTTTAAAGTCTTTACACTTTTTTTGTAGACACCGTAGAAAACATTGAAAATGTATTCAACAATTCCCGCCAGTTTCATAAAATGCTTGTTTAATTGTTTTTGTCTGTCCTTGTTTCAGTTTTTTGGCAATTTTTTTATGTTACAATATTCACCGTTCTTAATTTCATTGGAACTGCCTGTTGTTGCATATTTGGTGTGCTTACATGCATTTTGTAGAGCATGGGTGGGTCGTTTCAGTTATCTTATCGCATATTTTGTTTAATTCCAAAAAAATGTATGTGGTATCATGGCTTCTCATTAAAACTTACGCATGGCTGAATTACAAACATTTGTATGGTTTCTTTGACATCTTTTTTTCTGATCATGTGTTGATGGTTTTTTTATTTCAGTTTTCTGCTGATCTTGTTCTTTAGAAACGAAAATGCCATACAAAGGCAAATTTGTATTGAGTTTAAACTGAGAGAAAGGTTTTGTCAGGATTCACTGGAACAACTTACACTTTAGTAACTTGAAGCATTGACACAGATAAACAATAAAATGGCGTGCAGTTGATGATTGCAATGATCTCTGGAAAAAAAATGACGTCATATTTGCGTGATTTCTTGTCTACATCTTATGTTAATGATTAGCCTATCTTTATCACAGATTTGTTTCAAATGTTTACCCGTGATACGCTTCCAATGAAAAGAATCGTGTTTTTTTTAAGTAACCGTGTATAGTGTTTGCCATAGGCAGTCCCAGTTTTTTGTGTTTTACATGTGTACACAGTGACTGGTTGGAAAAACCGATTGTTTGCACCCAAAGATGAAATAAAGATGTTGTTCACTGCTTCTATTATTGAATATACATGCATTTGTTCTTGTTAATAAAACAATGTATGGGTAATGTTGTCGCAGCAAATCACTAGGCAGTGTTCATCAGTGAGTGACATTTGTTATCACATATTTGCATGCTGGTTGGCAAAAATGTAAACATATGATGTCATAGTGCAATGATCTTTACATTGGACTTACCTTCCCTTCCAAGCCATTTGACAAATTCTGTGAGTGTTTCCCATTTAGTTGAATTCATGTGTATATGCTCTTTGTCTTGAATGTATTCATTGTAAACCACATTGCTATGTACTCTTCTTGTACCAAATCTTCTCCTCAACAATTCAATAAAATCACTCAAATACTCACTATGAAGAAGAGAAAAGAATGACACATGCAATAAAGTATGTACATGTATAAGGCAGAAGCCTCATAAAAGCTCTGCAGGTTTTTAGACAGTGGTATTGCAGTAATGTACCGTATTGTACAATGAAGCCTGCCTTAAGCAGTAAATGTTTATAACCGGTAAGTAAAATTGTAGATTGATGATTATATGTATATTATGGTTTTGTCTGGTTTTAAGTTTACACATAGATTGGTCTTACTATACTCTACATTGTAGCTATCAGTATTGTGTCAGTGTCTTGTATGTATCAAAACATATCCCCGGTACATATACACCATTTCAATTAAATTAAAATTGATGAAATATATGATTATCTACTACTACCTACATGTAATACTATTTTCTATATATTATATTTCAGTTGGATACATTGCGTTTGTACAAATGTACATGGATGACTGTATCCTGCATGTCCCTTCAACACAAGCTTATATTTGTTAGTTTCATAAACCACACTTTAATGCCTGCATACTAGGCTACAGTGCTACAGTTGAGAAGTTCTGCATACTCAGACACACATTATATAGATTGTTCAGGAACCAAATTCCATCACACATGCTGACGACTGTGTTACTTTGGCAAAAATGAAAATTTCAGGGCTCTGTTATAAGTGCATCAAACACAAAGCAGTCACAGTAAACAACTCTCATTTTTATGACTAAACTTGCAGGTATTTCAAACAATTAACAATCCATTTAGCTCCCTCTCTGCTTACACTTTAATGAATGACAAATGAAATGTCAGCATTTATGACATTTGTGAATGCATTGATCAAGTTTGAACCAAACTTGTCAAAGCATGCTTGAGAAATGACTTCAGAAACCATGTAACAAAATGGCCACCAGCCAGCCATTTTGAGTTGAAATGCATTTAAAAAAAGGCTGCCAGCCATCTTTGATTGGATTGTGACATTGACCAAATTTTGTTGATGTGCTGGAATAACAATTGCCTGTGTATCAAGTTTCAACCTACCTGAGATATAAGCAGAATTGAGGAAAATATTTTTTGGTTAAATACAGCCATTTTGTATCTGAAGAGAAAAAATAATATGGGGCATATGTATACCACCATGTATCAACCATGTACTGAATTTGGTAAAATTGGGCCATGGTCTGCTGAGATCGACATAACCCAATCCACATGCTTCCAGACTGTGCTGCCGGGGCTAATAAATTGCATAATTAAGTATGAAATACTAGTAGAAGATCTCTAGATGCTTACCAATCATTTACTTTCTACTGATGGTTTTACAAAAAAAATGATCACACAAGATGATTTCATGATCATTTTTAAGTAATCAATGCAAAAAATTTACTATTCATCTACTGCAAATTAGTTTATATCATTGTTCCAATTCAGACATTATAAAATGATTGATTAAGTGAGTACTACTCGGTGGTTACTCATATGGTTCACTTTTGAACAGATTGCAGACATGGTATATATGAATGATAGCTTCATACATGTATCAGTGATTTATAATATAAAACATGCACTTTATTATATAAACTTGATTCTACATTGTTCAATAACATATCTCTCATTCTAATCTTCAATAGTTCAGTATGAAAATAAAGGATTTGCTCTAATAAAACATTTATATGATAGTGTGAATTATACTTCCTGAAAACGTCTACTACAACCGTGCACCTTAAAACTGCCTACTGACTTCTCACACATCAAGCATATATACCAATGATTAACACAAATTGTGTGTCCCACAATGCAATGTGATACAGGACACAGTGAGCCATGACAGCGATGGATCCAGGTTCTGTTATTGAATACTGCCCAAGACTCACTGAATTATTTGTCATACCATTTAAGTCTGGAAAATCCTCACCATTCTTGGTACTTTCGGGTGAATCTGACTACTGTATAGGCGTAAGTGAGTGTATGGTTAGATTCATCATTGGGCCATTCCAGTTTATATCTGCACCCCCCCTGTTGATGAGCTTGTGTGTTTACTTCATACAGGGTATAATTTCCATGGGTGTATAAGTCATACAAAGTTGTATTTCCAAATCACAATTCACCATACAGTAATGGAAATCCAAAACTATAGTTCCTACTTATGGTGTTGAGTTCTTTTGTGCCACCATACAGAGTAGGATTTCCAAATATAACTCTCATCATATGCTAATTTACCAAGTTCAACATTTTATATTTGATAATGGAAATCCAAACTAATCCTGATTCACGGTGTTGATGAGCTCATTCATGCCACCATTCTTATCTAATTTCAGTAAAAACTATTTCATACTGGCCCAATTTTTTACTATATACAGTCAGAATTCCAAGTTTTTTTAGTCATACTGTTGGAAATCCAACCTCATCAACTGGTATGTAGCGAGATAAACTAGGCCATATTTTATTTAGTAGCCATAACTGCCTGGATTTCCAGGAATTTTGTTCCCATACTCGTCTGGATTTCTAGATTCTGTTTCTTCATATACAGTTGGAATTCCAGGGTATTTTCCCCATCATACAGTGCTGGAAATCCGACCACATCAACAGGGGGGTGCAAATATAAACTGGAATGGCCCATTGGGATAAATTAAAAAGGCATATAACATAGTTATTTCGTTATATATTACTATGTACATATGTGCCGTACAAGTACATATTAACAAGCACATATGTTTAATTTACTACTCAATTGCTAAAGAAATGAAAATAAAGCAAAGTTTGTCGATTGAGGATAATCCCCACACTGTGTAGGTATGCTGTGTGTGTGTGCACTGTTTTGGCCTTTGTGTACTAGAAAACATCTTCATGTAAACAAAATTAGCATAAAAGTAAACAAACCCAGCATACAGCAATATACATGCACTGTATTTGCTCTATGTACACAAACCAAATTAGCATTTAGGATGATTGGAATAAATATTGTTATGACTAAATAAATAAAGGTGATGGTCATCATGTTGTGTTTGATATGGTTCCCATAGCAACATATACTTACTCTGAATAAGCATCTAAGTACTGTTCTGGATCTTCAGCAAAAAGTAACAGTTGCCTTTGATGCGACTCTGACATAGTATGGCATTTAAATCCATTCTGTATTGAGGAAATAATAATAAGGTATTCACATTCCTGGTAATTACAAATGAGCTCATCGTCCGAATCGCACGGTTTCGCTAAAGCTGGCCAGGCATAACCGGCCCACGAACCTGTGCTTGATAGTGTTAGGAAAAGCTGTATTTCACTGCAGTTCAATTGAGTCATTTGATTGGGCACACCAAGAAGCTGGCGCCACCAATCAGCATTGCTGTATCATACATGTGATTGTCTGGACTTTGCGCTGATTCACCGGGAGTCGAGAACAGAAAGTCTATATTCGATGACACGTTTCCAAAATTTGTTATTCCAACATTGAAAATTGCCTGTGGGTAAGTGAATGAAGAATATGGAATGTCTAAATATTTGTGCAAACGGTGATTTAGTAAACTGACAAAATTGCCGAAACTGATAACATATCGACTTGCCTGATCCGGTTTCGTTGCAAAAAACGCATCATTTCCCTCAGAAACAGCACTAAGCGCTTTCTTTTGATGGTCAGAAAGCTTGTTCACAGAGCAAAAAGAGAGCAACAGAGCATGTTGATTTCTACCGGTATAATCTATGATTTTAATTTTACCAAGTAATGTGTCATTTCTATCACAAGTTTTGATTGGGTAGTGCAAATCATTTGAGGGCCTGTGACAAATTATGATGAAATCTGCCAAGGGTTAATATTGAGGCTTTGGCCGAATAAATGGTCCTTGGCTGGCGAAGATAAATTGAGCTTTACAAAAGGTGACCTGTAAATAATATTTATTGTATTATTCTTGTTTTACTTTGACCATCCATTTTGCATTGAAGTATGTTTAGATAACCTCAGCTTCTTTATAATGCACCAGTCAATTGAAACTCGGCTGGTATATGTGAGGCAAATATCTTCAGAACAAGCCCCACCAATCCCCACACCAGAGGCATATTTTTGTGGCACACATCACCACCCCAAAGGAAGAAAAGAGGTGCAAAAGACCCACTGAATATGACACAGCATGAGAAACAAATATATTTGTCAAATTGTGAATATCACAAACGACACTAATTGCAAAAGTGTCAAGTCATATACGTATATAAACATATTTGCAAAAATAAAACCAATCTTTCCCCTAATGTCTTTCAATATTTTAACCTAATTCGATTACACTTTGAAAGTTTACTGGGAGATTTGTTAAAAATACAGCACTGTAATGAATACTAATAAAGAAAATCTTCCCTGAGTAGGAGATAATCTTTTGACCAGGCAGTATTCATTTTAGTAATAATGTTGGGGGCTGTTATATCAAGGGTTCTAGCATTAAGAGGTTGTCGTAATTCATGATTCTGTTGCCAATTTAGGTATCAACTAGTTTTACATGTATATAGTAAAAGGGTTGCTGCTTTTGACCAGGCAGTATTCATACATTTTGTACAGTATCAGTAATGTTTGGGGCTTCTGCCGTTGAGGGATGGAAAATTGATGAATTGAAATTATTTTTATCTAGGTAATTTATAAATCTTTGATTTGTGATCCCGATTTATGGATAGGAATGATTAAGCTAGAATTTTGAATTATTTGATGAAATAAACAATATTGAATGTATAACATAATAATAATAATAATAATAACTTTATTGCATCCTTAGAAATACAATGTTTCTATCAGTTAATAGCGATAAAGAT